GGTATGCAGAGCATGATCTAGGAGGGAAAACTATGGGCTCTAGCACAGGGATGTAGCATGGCCCACGCAGGGCATAATCTTTGGGCAAAGGCTCCAGTTACCCGGGCCTAATGCCTATAATTGACATATTATCCTCAAAATTATCATTTAGCATAAAATCATCCTGATTCCAGTTAAAATATTATGTCACACTTTACAACCAAAGTGCAAAGACTAAGTTGTTATAGAATCTGTGAAAGTTAATCAAATAATCAAAACATAGCAAACTATAAAAATGCTCATTATGAAGAACACATCACTCAAAATCCAGTCATATCTAATAGAGACTACAAAACTTAAGCAGATGTTTACACAAACGCCTATGAACTCAAACTGATACAAAGAACTGGGTTAAAGCTAAACAAGCAGAGGTCAGCACAGAGCTCCTATGACTGAATTATGATAAAACAATATACTAGTCCTAAGATAGCAAGAATATGATGCAATAAATCAGGCTCTGGTCCCAAAACAGTATAATGTCCAGCACAAATCAATTTCACAAAAATCTACAATGAAGTCAATGTAAATTAGAAGAAAATCAAAATTAACAAAAAATATATGAAGAACAAAAAAGAAACAACTGAAAATATGAAGTTTGTAATTAAAGACACACAGACATATATACATATCAAAGTCTACAATCAGAAAAAAAACAATTGATCTCAGAAATCTGGTGTGAAATCTAATAGTAAATAGTAAGTTTTAGAAAGAAAAGATATCTGTTAACAAAGCCCCTCATTTTCTTGCCTCGGGAAAAGAAGGCTTAATCTACAGCCTTGGCCAAATATGATTGCCAGACAAACAAACCCTTAGATTCTACCATAAGTTAATTAAAATGATGAAAAATATCCATGTATTAGTTTCTAACTCCAAATTTCTTTAAGAAAACCTTATGATTCACAAGCAACTACCCAATTCCAAACTCTATGCCGTTGGTTCTTAACACTGGCTACATATTAGAATCACCTGGGAAGCATTCTAAAATTGCTTATTCCCTGAACCCAGCCCAAAGAATCTGGTGTTGTCTAGGCCTAGGTTGGTTGTTTTTAAAAAAAAATTCCTATAGGCGTCTAAGGTGTATCAAGGGTCAAAAATCACTGCATGAATCAAACAGTATGGATCCAAACTCCCACTACATTTAGCACAAGTTCGGGGAATAAAAATTTACCATTTTTAGAGACAGAGTTCATAAACAGAATGGGAGAAACTATGAAAACTAATTCAGGGGCCAACTCCAGGCAACAACAATCAAACTGTTCCCCTTGCTAAATAACAAATACATATATAGTATATAAAATATCTATAAATATACATATAATAGACATTTATATATTTATATATGTGTATGTATGTCACTATATTTTATATTTCATCTAAAATTCCATAAATTAGAAAGTCATTGCTGTTTAAAAATTATGTGTAACTTCTGCTTCTAGGAAGATAGAGTAGATGTACATTTTCCTATTTCTCTCATTAAGTACAACCAAAAACCATGGACACTATGAATAAACAAGCATATGAAGATCTGGATTGGGCACAGTGGCTCATGTCTATAATCCCAGCCTCTTGGGAAGCCAAGTGGGGAGGACTGCTTGAAACCAGGAAAGACCAGTTCAAGACCACTGTTTCCAAATATATATACATATGAATTCTATATATACATGTATATATCAATTCTATTTACATATATCAATCCATATATATATATAGATTCTTACACACACACACACACACACACGCACACACACACACACGAAAGATGGAGAGAAGGCAGAACAGCTAGGGATCCTGGAACCCAAGGAACATAACTGATGACTTCCCTGGATCTTCTTTTTCCCTTACATATTCCAGACTTGGGGCCAGAGAAGCCAACAACCAGAAAAAGCTAACAGGTACAAACAAAAAAGCTTCAACAAAACCCTGCCCAAAAGATGAAGAGAAGAACACCACGGAAAAAAGAAAATTAGGCAAACTTCACTCTTTGTCAGCCAAACACCACAGGAAAAACTGTAGTCCCACTCTTACCATGTCAGAAAGGCTCAGTGGACAGTCTAAAGTTCTAGCCTCATGAGACTATAACACAGCCCCACCATACTCCTGACGTGGTGAGAAAAGACCAAGTAGGGAGCCAAGAATTTCACCCCTCTGGAAAGTAAAAGGACAGCTCCCCCTAGCAGTGTCAGTAGATACCAAGTAGGACCTGTACTTCTCTCCAAACTGGCAGCAATGAAGTGACCCTCCCACTACCCACTGAGGAGGACTAGAAAAAAGCTAAATTAAGACTTCCACTAACAAGTGGAAATTAGGTAAGACCAATACAACAGAGACTACACATGGAGAGTTAGAATCCCCACTCTGACTCAGTAATAATGAGGAGCCACTCCTGCTACTTGAATGGGGCAACAGAGACTGAAAGGGGAATCTGGACTTCAACAAACTCTACCTGGCAGTGATGAGCTCCCTTCCCCTCCTAAAGTAATGTCATAAACATCCACCTAAAACAGAAGGTTTAAATAAGATCCAGAGTCTCAGAACGTAATGGGGAAACAGGTCCTGTTTTCAACCAAAAATTACTCATCAGACCAAGAGTCAAAAAAAATCACAAACTGACAAAAAAAAAACACAAAAAAGATGAAAGTCAACACCAAAAAAAAGAGATGTCAGAAGTATCTGACAAATATTTTAAAAGTCTTTAAAAAATGCTTCAATGAACAATCATGAAAATAATTGAAACGAATGTAAAAATAGAAAGCCTCAGCTTTACCAGTACCTTGTGATAATATATGTACATATAGTATAATACTCAAATAAACCACCAAAAAGTTTTGCATAGAAATATCCTCATAAATACTATAGATAAATCAAAACTCTAAAAAATGTTCAAGTAACCCACAGGAAGTAAAAAAAAAAAACAAACAGAAATTTTAAAAATGCAAAACTTTAGCCATAACATATTAATAATCACATCAAATGTAAATCACCTAAATATGCCAATTAAAAGGCAAAAACTGAAAAAGTCGATTTTAAAATGTAACTCAATTATATGTAGTATGTAAGAAACTTAGAATATAAAAATATAGGCATGTTGAAAGAAAAATGATGGAACAAATATAACATGCAAACAATAATCAAAGGAAAGCAAACGTGTCTATATTAATAAGAGATAAAGGAGACTTCAGCAAAGAAAATTACGAGAGACAGAGAGGGACATTATGTAGTGATGAGACATAATTCACCAAGAAAACATAACAATCACTAATGTGTATGCACCAACCAACAAGCTGTAAAATATATGAAGCAAAAACTAAAACTTGAAAGGAGAAATAGACAAATTCACCATTACGATTATAAACGTCAATATCCTCTAACAACAAGAGATATAACAACTAGACAGAAAATCAGCAAGGATACAGAAGAAATCAACAACATCATCAACAAAATTTATAGAATACCCCTCCTCAACAACGGCAGAGTACTTATTACTTTCAAGTAATCATGGACCATATACCAAGAAAGAACATATACCAAGGCATAAAACATACATCAACAAATTTTAAAGAACTGAACACAGTAGAGTCTCCAAGCACAATGGAATCACACTAGAAATCAATAACAAAGATAATAGGAAAATCAAGCACTTGAAAACTAAAGAACATGCTTTCAAATAATCTATGGGTCAAAGATGTCTCAAGGGAAATTTTAAAAAATTCACTAAACCGAATAAAAATGAAAATACAACAAATCCTATTAAAATTTGTAGGACAAATGCTGCTGCCTGAAGAGCCTAGACAAAGAAAAACAAAAATAAATGCAAGACAGGAAGAAAGAATATAAAAAAGAGTAGAAATCAATAAAATTTAAAATAGGAAAACAGTTAAAAATATTAATGTAACAAACAGCTATTTTAAAAAACACACACACACAAGAAATTGACAAACCTCTTCCAAAATGACAACAAAAAAAGACAAAAAGAATAGTAAAGTTTCTAAATATATTTTTGTTTTTTAAGCAATTGTAAATGGTATTGCATTTTTAACTTTAATGTCCATGTATTCATTGTTAATGTATGTAGAAAAACAACTGATTTTTACATATTTATCTTGCATCTTGAAACCTTGTTGCACTCACTCATTAATTCTATGAGTTTATTTATTGGTATCTTCTACATAGAAAATCATATCATCTGCCAAAGGAGATGGTTTCATTTCTGCCTTTCCAATCTGTATGCCTTTTCCTTCCACTTCTTGCCTTTTTGAGCTGGCAAGAACTCCCAGTATGGTGCTGAATAGAGTGGTGAGAGTGAACATCATTCTTGATCCCAATATTTGGGGAAAACATTCAGTCTTTTACCATTAATTATGATGTTAGCTGAAAGGTTTTTATAGGTATTCTTCACCAAATTGAAGAAGTTATCTTTATTCCTATTATTCTGAGATCATTCAATACCATAAATGGGTTCTGAATTGCATCAAATTTTTTTTTTCTACATTATGTGACTTTTCTTCTTTAGTCTGGTAATATGGTGTATTACACTGATTCAGTTGAATGGTACTCTCCCCACCCAACAACCCAGCTGTCTGTATGTTCTTAAGGTGGAAGCTCAGAGTGTTGTTTTTTTTTAACACTATGACCCTGAATAAAGCAACATACCTATATAGCTAGTCCCAGAATCAGTGGTAATTGTTTACATAAGAAGCTCCATATGGCCAGATGATACAGATTGTGGACATATGAGAAAAATCTTCTTGTTTCAAGTAAAATATATCTGTGGCTGAGAAAAAAAGACTGTCAAATGAAAAATTCTACATACAACAACAACAAAAAAAATCAAATACTGGGCATGGTGGCTCATGCCTGTAATCCCAGTACTTTGGGAGGCTGAGGCGGGTGGATCACTTGAGGTCTGGAGTTCAAGACCAGCCTGGCCAACATGGTAAAATCCTGTCTCTACTTAAAAAAAAAAAAAAGGCAGAGTCGAGAGTGGGAGAAGAGCGAAGCGTGTGAGCAGCACTACGGCCTCCTCTCCTCCTAACCTCGCTCTCGCGGCCTGCCTTTACCCGCCCGCCTGCTCGGCGCCCAGAACACCTTCCACCATGACCACCTCAGCAAGTTCCCACTTAAATAAAGGCATCAAGCAGGTGTACATGTCCCTGCCTCAGGGTGAGAAAGTCCAGGCCATGTATATCTGGATCGATGGTACTGGAGAAGGACTGCGCTGCAAGACCCGGACCCTGGACAGTGAGCCCAAGTGTGTGGAAGAGTTGCCTGAGTGGAATTTCGATGGCTCTAGTACTTTACAGTCTGAAGGTTCCAACAGTGACATGTATCTCGTGCCTGCTGCCATGTTTCGGGTGGTGTTGTGTGAAGTTTTCAAGTACAATCGAAGGCCTGCAGAGACCAATTTGAGGCACACCTGTAAACGGATAATGGACATGGTGAGCAACCAGCACCCCTGGTTTGGCATGGAGCAGGAATATACCCTCATGGGGACAGATGGGCACCCCTTTGGTTGGCCTTCCAATGGCTTCCCGGGGCCCCAGGGTCCATATTACTGTGGTGTGGGAGCAGACAGAGCCTATGGCAGGGACATCGTGGAGGCCCATTACCAGGCCTGCTTGTATGCTGGAGTCAAGATTGCGGGGACTAATGCCGAGGTCATGCCTGCCCAGTGGGAATTTCAAATTGGACCTTGTGAAGGAATCAGCATGGGAGATCATCTCTGGGTGGCCCGTTTCATCTTGCATCGTGTGTGTGAAGACTTTGGAGTGATAGCAACCTTTGATCCTAAGCCCATTCCTGGGAACTGGAATGGTGCAGGCTGCCATACCAACTTCAGCACCAAGGCCATGCGGGAGGAGAATGGTCTGAAGTACATCGAGGAGGCCATTGAGAAACTAAGCAAGCGGCACCAGTACCACATCCGCGCCTATGATCCCAAGGGAGGCCTGGACAATGCCCGACGCCTAACTGGATTCCATGAAACCTCCAACATCAACGACTTTTCTGCTGGTGTAGCCAATCGTAGCGCCAGCATACGCATTCCCCGGACTGTTGGCCAGGAGAAGAAGGGTTACTTTGAAGACCGTCGCCCCTCTGCCAACTGTGACCCCTTTTCGGTGACAGAAGCCCTCATCCGCACGTGTCTTCTCAATGAAACCGGCGATGAGCCCTTCCAGTACAAAAACTAAGTGGACTAGACCTCTAGCTGTCAAGCCCCTCCTAGTTCTTCATCCCACTCCAACTCTTCCCCCTCTCCCAGTTGTCCCAATTGTAACTCAAAGGGTGGAATATTAAGGTCGTTTTTTTCATTCCTTGTGCCCAGTTAATCTTGCTTTCTTTGTTTGGCTGGGATAGAGATGGGTCAAGTTATTAATTTCTTCACACCTACCCTCCTTTTTTTCCCTATCACTGAAGCTTTTTAGTGCATTAGTGGGGAAGAGGGTGGGGAAACATAACCACTGCTTCCATTTAATGGGGTGCACCTGTCCAATAGGCATAGCTATCCGGACAGAACACGTTTGCAGGAGGGGGACTTTTCTTCGAGGTGGCTGAAAGGGGAAGACCTGACTTCCTCTGGTTAGGTTAGGACTTGCCCTTGTGGTGGAAACTTTTCTTAAGAAGTTATAACCAACTTTTCTATTAAAAGTGGGAATTAGGAGAGAAGGTAGGGGTTGGGAATCAGAGAGAATGGCTTTGGTCTCTTGCTTGTGGGACTAGCCTGGCTTGGGACTAAATGCCCTGCTCTGAACACGAAGCTCAGTATAAACTGATGGATATCCCTACCTTGAAAGAAGAAAAGGTTCATGTTGCTTGGTCCTTGATTTATCACACAAAGCAGAATAGTATTTTTATATTTAAATGTAAAGACAAAAAATTATATGTATGGTTTTGTGGATTATGTGTGTTTTGCTAAAGGAAAAAACCATCCAGGGCACGGGGCACCAGATTTGAGACGAATAGTCCGGATTAGAAACCAAGCATCTCCTTTTGAGTAGGGAGTGAGGGAGGTGGTGCTCAGAAAGATGGTGCTCTGGGGTTAGGTCCTCATGACCACTTCTGGGTTTCTGCCCTGCCCACCCTCTGGAGAAGGTGGGCACTGGATTAGTTAACACGTTTCTAGCAGTCACTTGATCTCTGTGGCTTTGGTTTAAAAGACAGACACTTGTCCACATGGGTTTAGAGATAAGAGTTGGCTGGTCAACTTGAGCATGTTACTGACAGAGGGGGTATTGGGGTTATTTTCTGGTAGCAACAGCATGTCACTAAAGCAGGCCTTTTGATATTAAATTTTTTAAAAAGCAAAATTATAGAAGTTTAGATTTTAATCAAATTTATAGGGTTTCTAGGTAATTTTTACAGAATTGCTTGTTTGCTTCAGCTGTCTCCTACCTCTGCTCTTGGAGGAGATGGGGACAGGGCTGGAGTCAAAACACTTGTAATTTTGTATCCTGATGTCTTTGTTAAGACTGCTGAGGAATTATTTTTTTTCTTTTATAATAAGAAATAAACCCCACCTTTATTCCTTCAAAAAAAAAAAAAAAAATAGCTGGGTGTGGTGGTGCATGCCTGTGTTCCCAGCTATTCATGAGGCAGAAGAATCACTTGAACCTGGGAGGCAGATGTTGCAGTGAGCTAAGATTGCACCACTGCACTCCAGCCTGGGTGACAGTACGAGACTCCATCTCCAAAAAAAAAATTGGATTTTTTGGTTTACCTTCCCTGAGTCTATTAGTCACTGAATACAGTAAACCAAATACTAAATAGGATTAGCTATGGCTTATAAATAAACATAAGGATGTGTATTATATTGCCATTCATTCATTGTATGTAAATTTCCTACAGCTATACTATAATATACAGCTTCCCAAAGCAATCTAAAAGAAACAAACTTTAATGATATAGCACAACTGAACTTTGGTAGAGTAAGGGCAAATAAGTATTGCAATGACAATTCATCATGGTAAACTCAACGGTCTGTAAAAAATCAAAATTATCGAGGACCTACTTCAAGAAGAAGTATATTAATATATAGATTTCTGTAACTTGGCAGAGAATTCCCTACAATTGCTACATTTAAAGTAATCAACACATTTCTATATCTCAGAAGAAGATGGAAATTATGTGTTTGCCTATCCTAATGTGTTAAACTTTTATTACAATAGTTTTCGCATATTTTTAGCTTAATATTAAGGTAGAAATATTCTATCAAACTAAGAAATAGAAACTGCTCTGAAATTGCAAAAACCTGTACTAGTTCCCTTTTTAAAATTAGAAGGATTACTTGTATAGCATTTAGATTGTTACATCTTATAATAACAAATTACTTGGTATTAATATGCATAATAGAACACAATGGTAGTAGTAATAATGATTGAGAAGTAGTATATTTACTTACCGATAAAAGAAAACCCATGTAGAAGAAACTGAAGAAAATAAATGGGAGAGTGAACAAATGATGAAGTAATGCTCCAAAATACAAGATAAAGAAAGAATGGGATACAGAATAGGGGTTAAGACACTGAACTTGAGCAGAGAAGGAACCCTCTTCCTCCACATGGAGCATATTGTAGGGAGAGAAGAATGAAATGAGAAGGAGGAGAGAAAGAAACAAGGGATGAAAAAATAAAGGGAAGGAAGAAAGGAAGGAAAAGAAAGAGGGGGGAAAAAAGAGACAAGGGAAGGAAGGAAAAGTATAGATATTGACTGTTATGGACTGAATTGTGTCCTGTCCCCCCAACCCACTATCACTACCAAATTTTACGTCAAAGCCCTAATGCCCCATGTTACTGTATTTGCAGATTAGGCCTTTAAAGAGGTATTAAGGTTAAATGAGGTCATAAAGGTGGGGCTCTAATCCAGTATGACTTGTGTCCTTGTAAGAAGAAGAAGAGACATTAGGAATGTGTACATTCAAAACCAAAAGCCAGGGCTGGGCATGATAGCTTACGCCTGTAATCCCAGCACTTTGGGAGGCCAAGGCAGGCAGATCACTGGAGCCCAGGAGTTCGAGACCAGCCTGGGCAACATAGCAACAGCCTGTCTCTACAAAATATACAAAAATTAGCCAGGCATGGTGGTGCGCACCTGTAGTCCCAGCTACTTAGGAGGCTGAGGTGGGAGGATCATTTGAGCTCAGGAAGTTGCGGCTGCAGTGAGCTGTGATTGTGCCATGACATTCTAGCCTGGGAGACACAGCAAGACCCTGCCTCAAACAAAAACAAAAACAAAAACAAAAACCCAAAGGCCATGTGAGAACACACAGAAGGCAGCCATCTGCAAGCCACAGGGAGACCTCAGAAGAAACCAGACCTGCCAACACCTTGATCTTGGAAGTCCAGACTCCAGAACTGTAAGAAAATAAACTTCTGCTGTTTAAATCACCCAGTCTTTAGCATTTTGTTATAGCAGCAGGAACAGACTAATACATTAAGTTAAATGGGGGAACAGAAACAGTGAACTGCTAATAGTCTCCAGTTTTTCTTTGGACCAGAAAGCAACTCTGCCAAGACCAAGGAGAGATGGGGTAAAGAAATTGTACAATAGACCCAGAAGAGAATGAGGTGTTAGGTGTAGGGGAACATACGAAAGGATTGCCAACTGTCCATTTCAGATTAGAGATCAATCTTTTGGAGGCATCAGTCTTCACAGTTACATAATCGCAGTTAAGCAGCCTGGTTAGAAGGAACACAGCAAAATGGGAAAGGTAAAACCTTTGAGGTTTTTTAAGTCTGAGTGATAACCTACCTCTGTCAGTGTAGCTGTGTCTTGGGTTGTTATCTAGAGTTATAATAATGATAGTTACATAGAGTGTGCCAATAATATCTACTCCTTTTAGAGTTGTTCTAGAGTTATGTAAAACTTTATCATAGAGTTGGTCAGAGAGTAGACAATAAATAATAGTTACTATAATTATTACTATGGAATTAGTTTAGTATTGGTACATTGTTAGGAAGATATAGCAAAAATGAGAAGGAAAAACAGGAGTTAAAAGCAAGTGGTTCAGCCGGGCGAGGTGGCTCACGCCTGTAATCCCAGCACTTTGGGAGACCAAGGCAGGTAGATCACTTGAGGTCAGGAGTTCGAAACCAGCCTGGGCAACATGGTAAAACCCCACCTCTATTAAAAATACAAAAAATTAGCATGGTGGCAGACACCTGTAATCCCAGCTACTTGGGAAGCTAAGGCAGGAGAATAGCTTGAACCTGGGAGGTGGAGGTTGCAGTGAGTTGAGATCGCGCCACTGCACTCAAGCCTGGGCAACAAGAGCGGAATTCTGTCTCAAAAAAGAAGAAAAAAAGAAAGTGGTTCAAGTGACAGAGCAGTGTTTTGGCTAGAGAGGGGAGTAAAGTGAATGCCTGAGGATACTGACAAGCTGGAAAACAGGAGGAAAAGTAAGTTAAATGGCCTGAGGATGAAGTCCAGTTGAATTTTAAACCCAAGAAAATGAGAAAGATCGAAAGATCGGTAATTAAAACAAAAACCTCCAGAGAAGACTGCTGAGTGTGAATTAGCAGTTACTTCTTATACGTAACACCACAGAGAAACATAAAAAAAGAAAGCCAGCTAAATGGTCGTGGCCTTGTCATTAGCTAGCAGTATATCTTGAAAGAAGGCGCTTAAATTGTGAGCCTTACTGCTATTTGAGGATTACTGACAAATTACCTCTGGTTTCTCCTTTATCGCACTTCCTCTGTACCCTCTCTCCCACAACACACACACACACACACACACACACACACACTCATCATTATAGTAAAGATCAAGAAAGGCAGCAAAGAAGAGCAAAGATCTGGAAAGTAGGCACATTTTCAAAACTGACATTTGTCTTGTGCATCCTCCCACTTCCCTTTGTCTCTCCCAGTCCCACCTCTACAAGCCCAAAAACCCCAGCTCTCATTGCTGGCTCTGCTCCCAGAAAAAGCCCAAAGTGCCATGTTTCTCTCTGACCTTTCTTCCCTCCCTCCCACCTACTACAACTTCCATTGTTGAGTCTATCTCAGTTTAACAAGAGAAAAGGCAAACTGATTAAGTCTTTCCATAATGATGCCAGGATGAACAGTAACTCTCTCATCTATGCTTAAACCTCCCGTGTGTTTGGCTTAAAAACTGAAATGAATCTATTTGGCAAAATTTCAGGAAGAATGGAAAAGGGATAATTTGGGACAATGAGATTTTCTTTCTTCCCTATTTTACAGTTGTGAGGAAGAAAAAGAAGTGTTTGTCGTAACTGATAACAGACAACCACCACAGAAAAAAACATCCACAGCAGCTCAGAATGTTACACTTAAGGGTAGTTTTTAGGCATACAGGCCTGCACAGGATGCTGAAGTGGGGGACTTACGAGGGCAAATATGAGGAAGCAATCTACCCTACTATAACCCTGAACACAGTGGTTCAGAACCATCTACCAGGTCATGGTAATGGCTCTCTTTTCTCTTCCCTTTATCACACAGGCTGCCCCTCACCCTGCCCCCTAGATGCTCCCCTGATAAAAGGAGGTGGGGAGAAAGGAAGCAGCCATAAAGGCAGCAGCAGGAGTGAACTCTCCACCTTAGTAATTTCCTGTTAGAAGTGGGGAAAAAATCTGCAGCCTAGAAGACTTAACAGAAGCCTGAGTATAAAGCAAGAAAATAGCTGTAGACAGAATCACATGAAAAAGTGACTATACAGGAAAAGGTGCCATTCAATGAGAAAAGGGGGAAAAGGATCGCTGAAGGAAAGAAACACTCTCTTCCCTCCCTTCCTAAAAATGGTAGAAATACAATCAAATGTTTCAGAGCAGGGATCAGGAAAACTTCGGCCCACATGCCAAATCTAACCAACTGCCTGTTTTG